ATTTATCTCTGTACTCACATGCTTTTAAAGTTTTTTTATTCAACCATTCATTATTTATTCGCTTAGCTTTTATTTTAATTTTTGATTTATATTCGCTGGTTTTGTAACATTGTTTAAAGTTGTCATTTATAAAATTATAAATTTGTATCGGACAGGTCATGGTATTCGTTTTTTGCCATTCGATTTCACTTAATGATTTTATTAAGGCATTGTTATTAATACAAGTCTTGATATTAGAAACGCCCTGTATACGCGACCCAACACAGGCAAACACTATCGCGCGGTGGTCCGCCAGTGTCGTACCGATAGCAGCTGTGAAAAGGTCTTGTGTATGGGATCTCGCGTTAATATGATCTATACAAGATTTGCTTAACTTACCACCCGATATTTCTATTCGTGTGTTAGCGGTAATCCCACGTACAAGACCCAAGCTGTACATTAAGTTAATATATTTATGTTTTACAGGACTATCGGAATTCAGGTCAATATTTATGTCGCCTATTACATACAACTCTTTATTACAACAGTATTTTCGTAAAGTGTTTTCAAGCTCAATAAGAAATAAGTGTTTACTGTTTTTAGGAGGACGGTACACGGCACATAGGTCCGCAGAATAGCCCGAGTCGGAAATGATAGTGCATATAATACTCTCAAAGTGTTCTGTTTTGATGTTTTTAGTGTTAAAATTATGTTTATTATTTACGTAAATTACAATACCACCACCACTTCGGGCTTTTCGCAGACTAGTTAACATTTGGTATCCTGTAATTTGAAAAAGACAACTAATAGACTCCGTAATATTAGCCTCAGTTACCACAATGACATCTATACACTGGTTGGAAGTTATAATAGTTTGCTCTAAACAGGCAAAGTTTTTTATCATAGACCGTATGTTGATATGCATGCATAACAAGGTAATACCATGATTTTTGGGTAGAAATTTAAGAAAATTGTTGATATTTGTACAATCTAAACATTCAAATATTTCATCACTTAATGTTTCCATTCAAAAAAAATAAAAATAAAATATATAAAAGTACTTCTAAAATCAATAATAAAAATAATATATACCTTATTATTAAACTACTAATTCTGTTTGGCTAATATGTGCACATCATTTAGAGTTCTTAGATAGTGTATTTTACTTATATCATCCTTACGTGCTTTTACGGACCCTTTTTTAAACCAGACGTACTTGTAGTTAAGCTTCGTTTTTAATTCCTGTTTCGCTAGCCATAGTATTTGTTTATTTAGTCGAGTCATAGTTTCCCTGATATACACGATGGCATTATTGTTTTGTTCTTGTGGATGGATATCTGCAACGGTCGTTGCTGTTGATCTTGCTGCTGCCAGCCACTTTTCCTGCATACTGTCCTCTTTAAGTTCCACTAGTAAGTTACCAATTTGCTCTCCTCTCCCTCGCAGCCTAAGTGATTTCTTGATACCGGTTTTGGGTAAGTTTAACTTCATAGCCAAATTTTCGACTAGGTTTACCACATTCTCATTTTTATGCCAGGGTACATTTGCAACTTCTATCTGCTTTGAGAGTTTTTCTTGTTCCAGCGCTTGAATTTGTTGTTCTAAGACGCTCACCCTGGTTTCCAAGTTGTTATTTTTGTTACTTAGTTCAATGTTCTTTTTTTCTAAATTTTTGATTGTTTGTTTGAATGTTTCGATACATCCCATTACTTCATCAAGTTTGGCACTATGAAACTGTAGGGAGTCGTTTACTTGCCTCATTTCATTTCTTATGGTTTTTTCTACTTCCCTTGAGATGTCCTTTAGTAGTTTCGCAGAGTCGAGTTGAGCTAGATTTTCAGCATCCTCTTCATCTTCGTCCTCTGGTACAAATATTGAAAATTTACGCTTCGATGACTCCTGCACACATTCCAGGCATGTCCATCCCAAACCAGGAGATGCTGCTTTAAGAGCATTGAGCTGCTTGTTGGTTAATTCAGTGCATTTTGTGCTGATATGTACTAAACGCTCACATTTGTTGCACTCCACTCCTGGGGAACTTTTTGTAATAGATTTATTACAGTTGTCGCATTTGGTAGACATAGTAGGTAGTTTCGAAAAAATTATTTAGTTAAACAATAGAAGCTCACGCGGTTATCGATAGGTGCAATGCACACGACGTTTCGGCGGTGAATGATTATAACTAGAAGGCTGGAAGAAAACAAAGTGCCCGTAGAATATACAGTATTACTTAGACAGTGCCTTACATCTGGCAATCTATTGTGGAAGGAGGAGTTCCACAAGCAAGTAGATGTTGTGGCATTGGGCTCACCTGTGCCTCCCATTGTCGCCGATATATCCATGGAAGACTTTGAGGAGAAAACTTTGCTTACTTCTCCAGTATATCCATGATTTTACAATGGTATGTAGACGACACTTTCACAAAATTCTAATTTTAGATAAAGTAATTGCATTTTTATTATTTGCATTGCAATTTAACTCCAACTCCAACATTGCTGCAATTTAACTCTGTAAATCCTAAAATTCAGTTCACAATGTAGTTAAAAGCAAACAATTCTTTAGGTTTTATAGATGTGTTAGTAATTCGGAATCCTGATAATACCTTGACCCACAATGTGTAGAAAAACACACATCGAGATAGATATTTAAAACGCGTAAAGCCGGCCAAAGTCGAGCATGTGCCTGCAATACTTCCATAAATCAGAGGTGTCATTGACAAGATTGGCTACATCTTGAAGCATGGTTCCATCAAAACATACTTCAAGCCGCCGAAGAAGATTAGTCAGTTTGAGTATACAGCATGAGTGTACAAGCTTGATTATGAATGTGGTCTCTCTTACATAGGACAAACTAAAAGTTCAATAAAAACGCGCATTAAATAACACATAGCTGATGTGAACACATAGCTGATGTATGTCGGCGCTCACTATCTGTGAACACGTACAGGATCGGCCACATTAGATAGACCACAAATTTTTGCTAAATATTGCAATTAAAAAACATCCTAATTTCAATAGAGAAGATGGCTGGGTGGCTACCATCTGCTTGGAATCCTCTAATTAATAAAATTAAATCCCAACCCAAACATATAACTGCAAGACTTCAAGATACTAAATTCAAGATCATACTTCGTAGACAGGAACAAAAATTAATAATGTTGATCTGAAGGTAGCAGTAAAATGACATTAAGACTTCGAACACCTCAGAGCTCCCCATGCTCGTGAGTGCAGTTAAGCGCTCGAAACGTCGGGAATATAAATTAAGTCAATATACACGATAAACAAAAATTTTAACAAAATAGAATACCGACTTCAAAACAAAATATTTTAAAACAATAAATGCACTAAAAATTTTAAAAATAATTGCGTATTCTTGTATCTACAACTTACAATCAACTTATTTTTTCTACTCAATGTACGATCTATGCGTTTACCACGCAAGAAGGTAGGTACCGACTTAAACTTCACATCTAACTCAACACATATCTATGATTCACAAACAATTATCAAAATATTTTTTAGAGTTCAACTAAGCAAAAGTTTTCAAATATATGTGTAGACTGCTTAAAAGACAATCAAATTATTAGGATAATATAATCTAGAATTATTGTCATTTTTGCAGTCGGTGTCAGCCAAGGTATATTTCTAACTACTTAAACGTGAGATGTCTTACTATAATCATAACATAGATAACAATTGGCATACACAATTTACACACATAGACGCAGCACTCGGCGCGGGCTTATCGACGCGGGCGCGGGGAAGGAGGGTGGGAAGGCTACAGAAGTGAGCGGGCCAAACGCGTACGCCGGCCATTCGCCAGTCAAGAAAAAGAACATATACGAGTTACTTGATTATAAACCGATTCCGATTCTTTTTCACTGTAATTCCTTATGTTTATTATTAAAGCTACATTTTCGTATAAAGGTTGCTAGATATTGTCACAGCATATTGTCGTATTAATATTCGTCTATAAGTAGGTTTAATTAAGTATTGTTATTTTGTTGCATTAAGGTTGTTAGAAAGGTATTGTCACAGCATATTGTCGTATTGAAGTTAATTTGGAAATAGGTTAATTATATATTGGTATTTTATTGTATTAAGGTTAACAGATAAGTATTGTCACAGCATTTTGTCATATTAATGTTCATTTATAAATAGGTTTAATTAGGTATTGGTATTTTGTTTTTTGTAATAAGGTTATTAGGTACTATCACAGCATATTGTCGTATTAATGTTCATTTATGAATAGGTTTAATTAGGTATTGGTGTTTTGTTGCATTAAGGTTGTTAGATAGGTAATGTCATTGGTACCTATTTTGTTATATTAGGGTTGTTAGATAGGTATTGTCACAGAATATTATTGTATTAAAATTAATTTCGAAATATGTTAATTATTTTTGGTATTTCGTTGTATTAAGGTTGTTACTTAGGTATTGTCACATCACATTGTATTTAAGTTAATTTGTAAATAGGATTAATTAGGTTATTGGTATTTTGTTTATTGTATTAATGTTGTTACATAGGTATTGTCACACCATATTTTCGTATTAAAGCGTATTTCCAGGAATTCTCGTATTATTATTGCTAGGTACATTGTCGTATTTCCTTGGCTGACACCGACTCCAAAAATGACAATAATTGTAGATTATATTATCCTAATAATTTGATTGTCTTTTAAGCAGTCTACACATATATTTGAAAATTTTTGCTTAGTTGAACTCTAAAAAAATATTTTGATAATTGTTTGTGAATCATAGATATGTGTTGAGTTAGATGTGAAGTTTAAGTCGGTACCTACCTTCTTGCGTGGTAAACGCATAGATCGTACATTGAGTAGAAAAAATAAGTTGATTGTAAGTTGTAGATACAAGAATACGCAATTATTTTTAAAATTTTTAGTGCATTTATTGTTTTAAAATATTTTGTTTTGAAGTCGGTATTCTATTTTGTTAAAATTTTTGTTTATTTTTCTATTTTTAGTGATTCTGAAGTTCGATAACTGATTTTATTTGTTTGAAAATGGGTAGACCTAGCAAACGCGCTGCTCATATGAGACAGCACCGTTTAAATGAGACAAACGAAGAAAGGGAGAAACGTCTATCTCAAAAGAGGAAATCTACCTCAATTGACATTTCAAAAGAGACTTGTGAAGAGCGCAAAAATAGGCTTTCAATAATGCGGGCTTACATGAAAAAAGTTTTGTACAGGGAAAATATCGAAAAACGTACTCTCCGTCTCGGCCTGATCCACGATCGCCTATCGAATGTGACGGAAGAACAACGTGCCCACCGCCTCGGCGTGATCCACGATCGTCTATTGAATGAGACGCAAGAGCAACGTGCCCACCGCCTTGGCATGATCCACGATCGTCTATCAAATGAGACGCAAGAGCAACGTGCTCACCGCCTTAGCATGATCCACGATCGTCTATCGAACGAGACGCAAGAGCAACGTGCCCACCGCCTTGGCATGATCCACGATCGTCTATCAAATGAGACGCAAGAGCAACGTGCTCACCGCCTTAGCATGATCCACGATCGTCTATCGAACGAGACGGAAGAGCAACGTGCTCACCGCCTCGGTGTGATCCACGATCGTCTATCGAACGAGACGGAAGAGCAACGTGCTCACCGCCTCGGTGTGATCCACGATCGTCTGTCGAACGAGACGGAAGAGCAACGTGCTCACCGCCTCGGTGTGATCCACGATCGTCTATCGAATGAGACGGAAGCGCAACGTGCCCACCGCCTCGGCGTCATCCACGATCGTCTATCGAACGAGACAGAAGAGCAACGTGCTCACCGCCTCGGTGTGATCCACGATCGTCTATCGAATGAGACGGAAGAGCAACGTGCCCACCGACTCGGATTGATTCGCGATCGCTTATCAAACGAAACACCTGAAACTCGTTCAGATCGACTTAGTAGAATGCAACAAGCTAATCAAGCTTGTAGGGACATCACAAATGAACAATCTTTTGAAGCGGCTATTAATATTTTTGCTGATGTACCATGCGCCGTTTGTAAAAGAAGCCTTTATCCTCAACAGCGTTCCAATTTACGAGCAAATATGTATAGTATACTATTACCTGAAGAACTGGTTGCTTTAGGTACAATAACTACGTGCTCTCGATGTAGCAATAATATTAGGAAAAGAAAAATTCCAACAACTGCATATTGGAATAAAATGATGCCCGCAGAAGTACCGCCTGAATTAGTCAATTTGACGAGCGTTGAAGAACGATTTTTAAGCCGCATCGTACCGTTTTTAAAGATTGTAAAACTTAATAACCGGTTCAGTCAAAATTGGTTTAAAGGGCAGGTCATTCTATTTGCAAAGGATGTTGTGGAAATTGCTGAACAGTTACCACTGACACCAAATCAAGCTGGTTTAGTTTTGGTAGTGGAAAGTCTCGAGAACCTTTCATGTTCTAAAGAATTCGTCGTGGATATGCAAAGACTGAATCGAGCATTAACTTGGTTAATTTCCAATAACCATCTTTACAGCGATGTTCAGGTACATTTTGAAACTACTTTAAATATTCCTCATATATTACAAATAGCTGAAAATTCTATTCCTGAACAGGATGGCGTTGCTTCTGAAACTTTATCACAACATTATATCACTTTAAATGACAACAAGGCAATATTACGCGGATCATTTAATCAAGGTGATTTACGATTTAATTTATCTCGGGGTAAGCAATGTACTGGGATAGCGGCTGTTGCTTGTGCAGCATTTAGTGTATTAGATCCAAACAAGTGGGCCAAAAGTGATATTGATTACATTGTAATTATTGACGATAAATACTATAATGACTGCATCGCTGCTAGAGATAATCCTGCGCCCGGCGAAGTAAATCCTGAGTACCTTGCTGTTTCAGATCTTAGTCCAAGACTTATATATAATAGACAAAATTTAGTGATCACAGTACTTGAGGAAACCAATCATAATGGCCACATAGACAATGATAATACTTCCGATGGATTTCCTAATTTAAAAAATGCATTATTAAGTTTTTTCAGAGAACACTCCAACGGGATACTTACAGCAAACGCCATATCGATAGCAGTGCATTGCAGAACTTTAGGTGACAATCAAACTTACTTTTTGTTTGATTCCCATGCAAGGGGTCCCAAGGGGGCTTCCGCTCCCATAAATGGTACCGCTTGTTGCATGCGATTTAGTGAACTGGATGATTTGCATGCTATTTTACGTCGCAATTTATTTGTGTCGCCAAAAAAAGTGCCAGAAGGAAACTTTCGAGATAATCTTAATGTATTCTCGTTAACATCATTAGTTATAGCTCGAGACTCCCAAAGACAAACAATTACGCCAATATTGGAACAATCGTCAAGGTTAGAGAGTCCAACATTTACACCAAACGATTCCCTCCAACCGATAATACAAACAGCTCGAGACTCCCAAATACAAACGATTACGCCAATATTGGAACATTCGTCAAGGTTAGAGAGTCCAACATTTACACCAAACTATTCCCTCCAACCAATAATACAAACAAGTAATACCCTCCAAACAACAACACAAGTCATTCAGTCTATCCAAAAAACAGTTCCGGTAAAATCAACCCATTTTCAGTTGCCATTACCAGTCCATAACTCCTTAAGCACCATTTATATCGAATCAACAGGTATGCTCCAAAATATAGACGTTAACGTACCTAATTTAGAAAATGTTGTTAATATGAATAGCTCTTCAACCGATGATACAATGAGATTGGCCGCAATTACAAGGAAAACTGCACCTCCCTTGAATTTGGAACGTGAACGCCGTATGGAGGAATTATGTTGGTATTTTCTTTTTCCAAATGGCAGGAATGGCTTTGGCGAGGAAAGAGAAAATGCGTGTACCCCCCCTTGATTACTTTCAAAACCGGGTAATGAGTATTGACAAGAGGTTCAACAGAAATGATTATTTATTTTATGCTCTATCCATTGTTGAATATTTTCGTGCAAAATCAAGCGTATCTGTGTCATGTAGGATGCGACAAGGTCATGGAGAGCAAACACCACAGGGACTTGTAGATAATATGCATCTCACTATGAGAAATATTCGAGGATCGGCATCATATTGGCAGAAATGTTGCTCTGAATTGATTGCCATGGTTAGAACTTTAGGGCCTCCCACATGGTTTTTAACATTTTCCTGCAATGATTTAAATTGGCCAGACATGATAAAAGCCTTGCTTATCGCTGATGGACGTGATATCGATGACGTCGATCGCCTGTCATTCCCGGAGCGCTTGAACCTAGTGCAAAAACATCCGGTAGTGTTAGCACGACAGTTCACAGTACATGTTAACGCTCTCATGCGATTCTTAAAGAGAAATAAAGATTGCTTGGGTGGTCTTATTGAAGATTTTTGGTACCGAGTGGAGTTTCAAAACCGCGGTAGCCCACATCTGCGTATGTTAGTCTGGTGTAGTAATGTTCCGAATTTCACCACTCCAGAAGGAGTTGCTGTAATTGAAAGGGTGGTTTCATGTTCATTAACTCCTAATGACCTTGTGTTGCGCAAATTAGTTGAGGATTTACAGATTCATAAACACACTGCGACATGCAAAAAAAATCGCCAAACTGATGGTTGTCGATTTGATTTTCCAAAGCCAGCAAGTGTTAACACCGTTTGTCTTGGACCAGATGAAGCACTTGCTAACAATGGACGATTTTGTATATTGAAACGAACCTCAAATGAAACCATGGTAAACAATTACAATGCAGTTTTTTTAAATCTATGGAAGGGAAATATTGACGTGCAACCGTGTGGTAATGTCACCGCTGTGGCCTACTACGTCGCAAAATATGCCAGTAAATGCGAACCACATGACACAGGTGATGTAATTCGAGAAGATATTTCGAATGCTAAGAGACAAGGTGGTGATGTTTGGAAACAATTGTTTTCAATATCAATGACTATTTTAAATAAACGCTTGGTGAGTGCGCCCGAATGCGCTTACAGATTATGCCATTTTCCATTGAAAATGTCGTCGCGAAAGACTGTTTTTGTGAATAGTTGCAGGCCGGAGGAACGTTACAGACTCCTGAGATTTGATAGTGATGAAACCAGTATTTACAATAATATTTTTGATCGTTATGTATTACGCCCAAACGAGCTGGAGAATTTAAGCCTTGCGGAATTTGCCGTCCGTTTTGAAACCGTCTCTAACACGACATGGTCAGAGGACAATGGGGATGCGGAACTGAGAGACGAAGATATTACGCCAGAGAGGTATATCAGATTGCAGGACAATACGAGATTGCGTGTAAGAAATAGACCGGCAGTGTTACGTACCCGCTATTATACAATTAATAGTGACAAAGAAGCATATTATTACAGTTTATTAGTATGCCATATACCATTTCGTAATGAAGGCGAATTACTTTTCGAAAATGAAACCGCTGAAGACTGTTTTATAAGACCAAAAGGGGATCTTCGCCCGTTGCAGGGTGACATCAGTTCAGAACAAATTGGTCATGCCGAATTAATTATTCAACAAGCTGTTGCGCAAGCTACCGCGCTTAATGCTGCGCGTGAAACCGATATAGGCAATGCTTCCATGTTATGTGTTGGTGAAAAAAATTTTACATGACGATGATAACTTTTGTGAAGACATGGAGGAACGAGCCGTCATATCAGATGAATTGTTCCTAGGAAGCATTCAAGGATTAAATATCCAACAGAAGGAATTATTTCAGAAAGTTTCAACGAGCCGTCATATCAGATGAATTGTTCCTAGGAAGCATTCAAGGATTAAATATCCAACAAAAGGAATTATTTCAGAAAGTTTCAACGGCAATCGAAAACGATTTGCATGGACAAGAAAGCCAGCTGTTACTTTTTATCACGGGCTGCTGAAATTAATCGTGGAGCACATTAAGCGTTGTTACGCACCAACAGTAGATATGCTGCTGAAGCCTAATGTTGTGGAAGTTGGGTCATTAACCGGGGTTGCCGCTCGTCAAATTTTTGGCAAAACGCTACATAGTATTTTCTTGCTTCCGATTGAAAAAAAAATTCTATGACATACAAAAAAAATTACAGGTCAAAGACTCGAGACTGAAAGGCGTAAATGGCGCTATATAAATTGGCTAGTCATAGACGAAATTTCTATGGTCTCCTATGAGAACTTAAGAATAATTCACCTAAGACTCCAAGAATACAAAAACAACGAGAAGTTATTCGGTGGAGTCAACATTTTAGTATTTGGTGACATATTTCAGCTTCCTCCGGTGAAAGGGAATTGGTGTTTTGTGCAGCCATCGTGGTTTTCGGTGGAGGTCAATTTGTGGCATCAGTTTTCTTTTTGTGAACTGACCATAAACATGCGACAGCGCAATGATTGCGAATTCATCAATTTATTGAACAGCTTACGGGTAGGTAAACTGACGACGGTTCAGCAGGAATTACTATGCGAGCGGCGCCACGTGCCTATAAATGGTGAATTTGCGGATGGAGTCGCCGTTCGTATCTTTCCCACGGTCAGGCAAGTCGACGATTACAACGACAAAATAACCAAGGAAAATGCAAAGCTGCACCGAACTTATTTAATCAACGCAGTGGATGAGTCGCGTGAAGTAGCGACATATGGTAGAAAACCACCAGAGAACGTGATTCCCAAAGACGTCAATAATTGTGGTGGTCTTCTGCCATCGATAAGAATTAGCGTCGAATCTCGAGTGATGTTGAGACGCAATATCTCCGTCTCTGAAGGGCTAGTAAATGGAGCTATGGGTATAATAAAAAAAATCAAATGGCCGGCCTTGAGGAGAGATCAACTGGAGGATGGAGAGCTACCAGAAGCCGTGTACGTTAAATTTGATGACGAAACTATCGGTCGCAGGCTAAAAGATAGTAATGGTTGCGTACCCATACCTCCATCAAGTACTACATTTCAGGCAGTAAGGGGTTACGGAGATGTGGAGCGCCGTATGCTGCCTCTAATATTAAGCTGGGCAGTTACAATTCACAAACTACAGGGTACGACCCTCGAAAGATCTGTGATTGACCTTGGAAAGAAAAACTTCGCAAAAGGGCAAATATATGTGGCACTAAGTCGTGTTAAAAGTTTGGAAGGCATAGCTTTATCAGATTTGGACGCCAACAAATTATTAAATAAACCACACGACGACAAATCGTTGAAAGAAATGACGAGGTTACGAAATCTGTCTTCCGACAATGAAGACCACGCATAATACTCGTACACCTCAAGTAGCGCAATTAGAATGAAAGATATACCGTTAAAATCATCAATCATTATCAATGGCTAGGATGCTATGTTTTATTCCGAAGTTCCGGTGCCTAATAACTTCATTGTCAGATCAAAAGTTGTATCATAGAAATAATTTTGTTTTTAGCTTTTTAGTGTGTACCCTTTCGAGTGTTATAGTTCCGTTTTATTTCGCCGAAGATCTTAATTCGGACATCACCAAATTATAAAAAATGGGACCACCTCGAAATACTATGAATCGAAATACGATGCTCTTCTCAACCACCCTTTACCGTTTTTCCGTTTACCGTTCGACAAGTAATAAATATAAGTATAAAATAAAAAAATCGGCAGATGAGAACATCGTCAATGCAATCGAAGTCAATTATATATGCATTATTAAGGATAACTCAAAAAGTACTGATAAAACTTGGATCAAATTTATACGGGACCACACGAGAAGTACCAGCTTTCAAATAAAAAAAAGAATCATCGAAATCGGTTCACCCAGAAAAAAAAAATCGGCAGATGAGAATACCGTCAATGCAATCGAAGTCAATTATATATGCATTATTAAGGATAACTGAAAAACTGCTAGTCAAACTTGAATCAAATTTATATGGGACCACACGAGAAGTACCAGCTTTCAAATAAAAAAAGAATCATCGAAATCGGTTCACCCAGAAAAAAGTTCTGAGGTAACACACATAAAAAAAAAAAACGAAAAAAAAAACATACAGTCGAATTGAGTACCGGCTCCTTTTTGAAGTCGGTAGATAAAATCCGTAAAAACTAGTTTTACTTAAGTGTGTAGTATTCGCGTAAATATAAGAAGTCATAATGTTTTATATGTTACGTATGTGAGAAAGTGGCAATTGTATAAGAAATTTGGTACTTCGACTACCTCTTCTCCATACCTTATCTCCATAAAATCTAAAATTTAGTATGCAATGAAGTTAGAGGCAAAAAACAATTTTTTATTGATTTATTAATTATTCTAAATCCTGAAAAAAAAAGTATTTTTAAATGTGTAGTGTTCGGGTAAATATAAGGAAACTTTGTGGATTTTAGTTATTATTTTTCATCATCGCTGTGCGCAGGAATTTCTACAAAACCTGTTTATTTCGTCCATGTATGACCATGTGGTGGCGGTGGAAGTATAACCATATACCCTGTATCGTCCTGTGGGCGTTGACGGAGGAAAACATAGTGATCCGTATTTATGTAATCGCATGGAAAACCAGATGCTCTTATTATTCAAGCCTATCAAAAAGCCATTGTTAAGGTGAAGTGGGCGCCAAAAGCAGATTTTGCACGTTTTATATGGACTGTTTGGTCGGCCCGCGCGCTATTTAATCGCACAATATTTATTAAATATTTCTTTTTAAAATTATTTATACTCTTTTATTGAAAAACAAATCCGTAGTTCACTCACGTATTTACTGGTGAACACATAGCCTGAATTTATTTGAAATTGATTTCATTACATTCGAATGAAACTGCTTTTTCATTTAGTGGGCATACCGAAAATTGTAGATTTTGAGGAAACTTTGCGATCTTTTTCTATCAAGCCAAAATGTGTCAATCGTGTTTTGGCCACCATAATTCACTAAAAAATCTTTAACTTTCGTAATGAATTTAATATACTGAGAATTCGTAGTTTATAATGATAAAAAATTGCACTTTTAAAGCGTGATAAATCTGCTTTTGGCGCCCACTTCACCTTAAGCATTTTTATATAAACTAAAGTGACAAAAGGACTTACAGTCTATCTGATGGTAAGTGACTACTGCAGTTCATATACCAAGCAAAACAGGCTAGAGATGCATTGCATTTCTAAGGAATTAAATGGAACGTCTCATAGCCTGTAATTATACTGAATCTAGATATTCACTAGGGCTAGAGCCTCTACGACAAGAGTACAGCGCTACCAACACTACTATTTGGCGCCACTAACAGGTGAGATAGTGGGATACCTAGAAGGTAACTTCCTCCTAGATATTCAAACATATGTAAATTCATGAACACTATTTAACACATTTTTTTCTTAACTTATGAATAAATTCGACTATTTGGTAACACTAAGGCGTTTAATGGAAAACTTATTTGTCAAGCCGCTGCGACGTTAAAATTTCAACCCAATTATTATATTTGTCATCGATACCAAGCATTTGCCGTCATTCTTCATTCACTTTGTCTTATTATTAAGGCATGACACAACATGTTTTTCTTAGCGATTTCATGTTTATTAATTCATTTGAATAAATTGTATTAATATGCTTGTTTGCATGGTATTTTCACTAAAGATGTTGTTACTTTACTTTGATGACATATTTTGAAAGTTAGAAATTTAAAGCCTGTTAAAAGTTTACCGAAGCTGAAGAGAGTCGAGAATGTAAAGAACGTTTTTATTTCGCCGTTGGCTTCTTTGCCTAACTATGATTTCATTCCATCTTTTGCATTTGAGTCAAAGGATTTGAAGAAATTTTCTGTATTATAAACAAAGTTAAATATGTATTCATTAATAATGTTTTAGCGAAATAAATGATTTGATTTGATCAAATCACCTTATGTTTATTTAAAATACGAAATAAAACTATTTAACAACATTTTTTTAATTAAAGAACCCGACAAAAATTATAACATTTTAATACCCTACTTTAATAACCTACAGACCGACTTTTAGTCGTGGTGGCCAGTCTCAACGAAATCTAGTTTTAAAACCAAAGAGCTCGGATATGTACACTAGCACAGCTACACTCTCGTCACACACACGAATATTTGTTTTCTTTTTCCTAGTTCGGCTTGTTATTATTTATACTAATAATATAGTATATAATAGAGTATATAAATAAAGAAAATATATATAAAATAAAGAAAAAATTCTAATTTAGTAAAGTTTATTTATCAATATTATATTAATCTTAATATATACTTAATCGATATTCTTTTTTTGGATTTCCAATATAAATTTATAAAAAAAAGTTTCGTATTTTATTTATTGATATTTTTGTTTTAAAAATACAGGGTACGGTATCACCCCTTCACAGGGGGGGGGGTTCACACCCAACTCACCTCCTCTTCCTTCCCATCTCCATTCAAAATCGAGTCTTCGATTTTAAGAGCACACCAAACGGGCTGTCTATGAACTCTGCAGAAACTTTTACCTTGACGATCACCAGCTGATTAGTGATCGCCAATACGGTTTTCGCCGTGGACGGTCAGCTTGTGATCTTCTGGCCTACCTAACTCACAAATGGGCGGAGGCAGTAGAGTCGAAGGGAGAGTCATTGCGCTTGGCACAAAGCGCTTCTTCCGAAGCTCCCTTCCTATGGGCTTTCCGAGAAATTGTGCGATTGGATCACCAACTTTCTTGCGGATCC